AGAGTAGAGTTATTGACAAAAAAAAATCATAAAATGCCTTGCCATCTCCATAGTATGTTCTAGCATTAAAATAAGCCCTAGGGTTTCTTCACAACAACCAAAATAGGAGAGAGAGAGAGGAAAAAAGGAATAGAGAAGAGCAGAGAAAAGTGGCGGCTGTAACCAGACAGACGGATTAGTGCTCTGATACCATGTTTGCTGGAACACAGCAGCCGAAGAAGAAGAAGAAGAAGAAGAAGAAGAAGAAGAAGAAGAAGAAGAAGAAGAGAAGAATATTTGAGAAAGGCGGCATACCTACTTCAGCCGGCCCTACAATCTTATATAGATGTTTACAAAATAATGTTACATGAATGGACTAGAATGCCCCTGATTAGTGATGGGACACCTAGACAAATAAAACATTAAACAAGTTTAGGCCCAATAACTAAGAACTTAAGACACAAATATGACTAACATAAACACTAAAACAGCCAAACCAACAACTGCTAACACCGTGATTGCCAAGTCAACAATTTTCCAATTCCACACTGATGCTATGAACCTATGGCAGTGCAGGATACCGACACCAATTGCTAATCATCTAAAAGAACACACACAGAGTGCAAAAGCTAATATCAGGAAATCATGAAGCTACTTCATCCATCTTCAAGGGATTGTAGAGAGAGTATAGATTTTATTGGAAGGAGAACCAAACAATCAATAAACAGAGTAGAGTTACTGACAAAAAAAATCATAAAATGCCTTGCCATCTCCACAGTATGTTCTAGCATTAAAATAAGCTAATAGCAAGTGACACCATGCTATAGAATAATGAGATATGGTTCACTGATGGATCAAAAAACTAAAATGTCCTTCCCCTTGATCATTTCTTTAACAAAGATAGCTTTATGAAAAAGCTTCATCAATTTTGTACCAAGGGAGATAAAGAATTTTCAATTGGTAGTTCCACTTTATTAATTAGTTATAAAAACGAGGGAGATAAAGATACATCTAACCCAACATCAGCATCCATAGAAATCAACCCCTCCTACCTGCAGGGGGGGGGGGATTCAACTGCTTTTAGAAGATGCCTCTCTCAGCTTTTCTTCTTGCTTATACCTCCTATCTTCCTACTGCTTCATTTACTCAACAACAGCAACTAAATTGCCACACAGTGGTGTGAAGTAATCTTATATCACCTTTCAAATTCTCCACTTCACTTCCACCTCAAGTAAAAATATGTAAATCAGTAATAAAATCCCTCATTAATTTATTTATTTATTATTTTTTCTTTCACCTAGTTTACCATCTACATAAATTTGGCAAAAGATTATTCTCTTCACGATACACAATGTATTCATTTAAAACTGATATTAGAAATATATAAAAAGTAAAAACAGAAAACATCTAGTTTAGAATTGTTCCAACTTCAATTAACAGAAGTAAAGTGAAAGAAAACGTGAAAAAGAAGCAAAGGAAGAAGGAAGGGAAGAGATAGAGAAGAGGAAGGGAAGAAAAGAGGGAAGACAAGCAAGGACAAGTCGAACTAACTATCCTTACTGTCAACCCAGCTTTTATTAACATTTTACTGGTTGCTGAAATGATAACAATGCCCCTAGATAAGTTACAACACATATAAGAGAGAAAAATAACAAGAGAAAAGACAAGTATGCCCCTGTCAACTAATTCTAACAAGAATTAACATCTATAATAGCCAACTAATTATTACATTGGTGCAAGAAATAAATGAGAATAACAAAGAAACACTTCACTCTACAAGATTTCTAACGTACTAACAGGAAAAAGACAACACAAGCATGAGAGGCAGAAAATCAAAGAATTTTTTGCAAGGGTAAACAGATTCCTTGTGAATGTGTGGGCACAAGAACAGGACACAACTGGGGCATTCTCCTCAAATAAGTGCCCTGTTGAGTACAATTCAATTTCTTTTTTTTTTTATTGATTAATGAAAAAGAACGATGTAACTACAAGATGCTTAGCAACCTCCTATGCCAAATGGTTAAAAACCAACATATCTCCCAAGGCATGTCAAATCTCAATCTAATTTGAAAGTTTGTTCAGACCAAATTCCAAATGATTCAACCAGGATGATGACTAGCAAGCCCCATTATAACAACCACCCTCCAAGTGTCAAACATGCTCATAAAGAAAAGGTCAGGGCAACACTGGGAGGAGTAAGGATATCCATTCTTTATCACTAATCAAAGTTGACATTATAAGATGCTAATAATGTTCTGAATTTAAAAAATAAATAAATAAACAGAAAATCATGCTAAATAATTCTGGAAACCGTCACACAGATACATAGATAATGCATCATTAGACCCGTCAGTCCTAACCTTTAAAAGGGCTCTAAACAAAACCATGAAGTCTGTATGTTCAATGCATCATGTAAATTTCCTCTGACTAAATGATTAACAGGGAATTCTACTTGCAGAATGCTTCAGCAGTATAACTGAAATCCATTCTTTAAGAAAATGAATTCTAACAAACACATACCCAAGTTCCTAGAAAACAAATAAGGTGTTATTACATCACATCTCAAAAAATGTTTTTTGTGGTTTTTCATTCCCAGGAACAGAAAACAGAAACACACCAGATAAATTTATATGTAGCATTACCAAATGTTACCTAAGCATCTAGAAGATACATTACATATTTACATAAACACTAATGCTTTCAAGGAAGCCCTGGAATAACAACCGAATTTTCTTAAGAGCTCCTCTAAAATTTAAAAAAAAAAAAAAAAACAGAATATAGGACAGTTTAGAAAGAATCAGTGTGATTTTATGCATCATAGTCTACCCGTATTATGTTCAACCACTAGTATGTTCTCAAATTTTCTACCATATTCTTGCAATGTGAGACAAGCATTGAAAAAGGGAATAATAATCAAAAAATTCACAAGCTATTTAATAAACAATCCAGCCTATCAATTTCCAATTCTATAACAATATCTCCACTTCATTTAATATCCTACTGACCAGAAACATATTGACTCTAATCCTGTACTAACTACAAAATACAAAAATCAAAAGTTGTAGAGGTCTTATGTCTTTTTTTTATAAGTTTGTGTAAGTCGTATATCTTACTCGGGTTTATCTTACGAGTTGTAACAAGACCAAAAAAGGTCATCAACATTGTATGAGATGTGATTCAGACCAATAAAAAATTGTAAAAATATTTCAGATTATAGCAGAAGAGGAAGAGAAGAAGAAGAAGACAACAAGAAGAAGAAGGAATAATGGAGAAGAAGGGAGAAAGAAGGAGTTCGATAATCTCCTCTTTCTCCACGGTGTTTTTAATCTTACTAAGATTACATAAATTACAAGTCTGCCCTTAAGTGGGCGTCCACCTCATCAGCATACTTAGAAAACATAAAAAGAATTAAAGGCCCATTAAGAACAAATAACAAGAAAGAACTAATCAAGAAGATAGTAATGGGATAGGGCCCATTCGGCCCAGTCTCACTACAATATGGTCATGTAAATTATCAAAAGCAATGGTTAGGTACAGTTTACAAACTTGGTCTATTATCAACCAACACCTGCAGGCTTCCAGAATACAGGGTATAATACATCTAAAAGATATGATACATAAAAAATAAACATGTTGAGAAAACTAGGGCTAGAAAGAAGACCACATAAAGACTATTTGCATCTTTAATATGAGCATGAATTGGAAAATCCATTAAATATATAATTACAGATGAAGTTATAGATATTAGCTAAACCACAAAATTGCAAATGATAGTAACAAATACCATATAGGTAAGTGTAAAATGTCCTTAATACCAAGGTACTAAGTCGTAATCTCAAGTTACACAGCTAAATTGAAGGACGACTGAGCTTGCTCCCAAGCCATTAAATTTTTCACTTAGAATTGTATCAACAAATTAGTCAACTATTGTCAAACTTCATATGCATTTCCACTCCAAAGGATTATGATCCACATTTCATATGTGAATCAGGGGTGGCAATAGACAGTTCTGGGAACTAAGTTTAGATCTCATAAGGTCTCTTTGTCAAGGTAAGTTTGCTTATACAAGATATATTTCTTCCAATTTTTTCTTCTATTGTTTAAATTAGAATCTTTCTATGAATATCACTTAGACCCAGCCATAGGATGTTGGATCAGGATCCTGGGCTTCTGACATAATAATGTCAGGTTTTCTTTTTCTAGCTAAGATTTTGGAGTTTTGTTAATTCATAAGATGCCATCTCAAATGACAGATTTAGCTCCTTCACTACAAATGGAGATAAATATGTTGATTTGCATTGGAGTTTTCATGTTTTATCCTTTATCAGATGACAATCACTAGGGTTATACACCTTCATGTTATATTTCTTAGGAAGAGGTATGGAATTCATTCCTGTTTCAAATATCCTACAATGCAAATTTTGATGTTCTATTGCTAAATACATGGATCACATGAAAGCTTTTTCATCTTTTGGGCTTGCAGGAGTCCAGAAGACACATTCAGAAGTAAACTATCACTATCTGTTATTCACCAGTTTTGAGTTATTGACTCCAATGAAAGAAGAAATCTTGAAATAGCATCATACTATCACAGAATTTGAATCCAGTTTGAATAGATTTCCCTTCCTTGTAAAAGCAAGTGGTGCCAAATTCCCAAAAACAATAATTACACTGTTAAGAAAATGGTCTTCCCAAACTAAACAGTTAGTTTGTAAAACCCTCTTCACAAATCGAAGTATTAGAACATAAAATCAGAACTAGACATGGACAAAAAAGGCTCTCATTTCATGCGAATGAAATATCAGCTACTTCTAATTCATCTGGACAACAAATTGCAGTGAAAACACTCCACCAATCGCAGAAGGAAAAGAAAAGTCAGTAAACAGCATTTCACACCAGTACCATGTATCAAACTAAATAATGCAGTAAAATAAATCAACTTCGCATAATACGTCCTTATACCCACAAAGAAGACCGAGAACCACAACCGACGACCAAAGAAAAGATGACAAACAAATTACCTTAGAATTCATGAGTTGCTTAAGACGAAGTAGCATATTAAGCGCCTCTTCCTTGGCGACAAAGAGGTCCTGCTGGAACTGAAGGGCCTTACGCTCAGATACCATAATCCGAGCGGCCGCCTCCTTGGCCGTATTGAGGATTATATCCGCGTAAGCCTTCTTCAAGGCTGCCATTTTCTGCAATCAAATACCAGATGGTGAGTAACAACCAGAGCACAAGTATGTCTAGAACAAACCCCGATGGAAAGGAACCCTCATTAGTGAAACTGAAAACAGTCCCAAAAAACGGTTGAATGAAGAAACTAAAAGAAGAAAAGAAACAAAATTTTCGAATACAGATACGGATTAATAACAATTGTGGTAGTGCTGCCGGCTTGCGGCGGCGGTGGTGGTGGCGATGGTGGTTGAGATGGATGTTTGGTGGTTAGGTTTTTTACCTCGGCTTCCTCCATCAGTGATGGGGCGTTTTCGGTTTAGACCAGTTTGATGGCTGTGGAAGGAAGGTTGTTTTCCCCTTTCCTTGCAGCTGCTGTCTGTTATGAACTGAAATTTCAGTTGCAATTACCCGATTAACCCTTATTGCCACTGATATTACGTTTTTACCACATCAAGCGACAAATGAGATCACAGCATCGGTGAGACGGTGAGGTTTGGCTTTTATATATATAACAGTTCCTCTGTATACAACTACAAGAGCGCGCCATAAGAAATTGTTATTATTCTTGAATCTTTCATTGTGACGTTGATGTGGATCCAATCATCCAATACGCCGCACGTCTTCTTTGAAAGGCGTAGATCGAAGCTTTTCTTTAATCTTTAAAAAAAAAGGAAAAATTAAACATCAACAAATATCTCAGCTTTTGTGATTTTCTTTAATCGACGGCTGTGGTTGCGGCTGTATGGACTACCAACCACCTGATTCGTTCCAGTTCCTCGTCTTCGGGAAATGACTTTGGCGCCCAAATCCCAATGCCCATCTATAACTGTTAAAAAGAAGAGATCCCCGCCACTCCGCCAGGCGAAACTGAGGATTCATTCCGTGCTACCAACGTCGTTTTGTTTTGAGAACTATGCAGTGATCTTCACCGTTCATTAGATCTCATCAAAATTGTAGTTTTAGCAGAAACCCGATGGGGTTTTTAGGATTTTGGCCTTGCATGAATGCCACGTTGACTGACGTTGGACTCCGTTGTTCCTTCAATCTTCATGTGTGCGTAGCGGCATTTCATGTACGTACTACGTACGTAGCTTAGGCTTTCGTTTCTACTTTCTACTTGAATTCTCTCGTCCGTCTCCATTCGAAACCCGAAGCCTGTCGTCAACGCGAAACGGCGAAAATAGGAGAAAGAAACCTCGGTGGTCTGGTCACTGGTGTGACAAAATCTGAGGGTGTTTTTGACATTTCCCAACCAACAGAAGACAGAGGAAATAACGGAATCGCCATGCGTCCAATTCCATGCCCTCTATCTCGCTCAAGGTCCGTTTTAGTAATTTCAAGGGTTAAACAACTTCTGTGAGTTCCGTCTTCTGCGATGGGAAGGTAGCCAGCTGGTCACCGCCATGTAGGGACGGTATGATCGTCCCGCCGGTTCAGTTATAGTTGGTAGTGTGGCTTGTCATGACTCGTGAAAACTTTCGATGGGCTTCCAAGTTTCAACGATCGAATGAGTTAACGCTGTACATGCAGTCGACATGCTTTTTCCCATCGCAAGCAACAGTTATTAGATCCTTGAAAATGATTGCTCAGCTTGACACGTGGCACCCATCAAGAGGCGCAACCGCATTGTGGATCAAAATAGGGCCCAAGATAGTAGATCACAACTGCGTCCCACAGAGTACATCCCACAAATGCCCTACATGCACATCTCAACATCTCAGCATGTATTGAAAACATCTTCTGAAATTGTCAGTGGAGATGTTTTCAATACACGGTTGGGATATAGTGTGGGGTATCCTCTGTGGGGCACAGATGTGAACTCCCAAGATAGAGGTCAAGAATCAAGGTTCAATAATATGCCTCCTGGTCTGATCTCTTCACTTGACACTTGATAGTTGATACTCGAAAGAAATCGATGTTGTCGCCAACGTCGATGTCGGATTGGATCCAACTATCGAACCATTTGGCCTAACCAGCAGCCAAGCCGGTGTAATACCTTATGAAATTATATTGTTTTAATTCTTTAGTTTTTGTTTTTCTCTTCTTTTATTTAAAATAATGGAGCATAGAACAAGGCGGGCAGACCTTTATACTAAGTGTGACTTTTTTATTTTAATGCATGAAGGCTATCATCTCATTGGTGGTTAGAAGTTAGAGGAAACATTCACAGGGACCTATGAACCAAAGCGGACTCCCGAAGATACGAGTTGGTTTTGTTCAATTATTGAAGAATTTCAATTACAGAGGCTTAGAAGTTAGACCCATTCAAAATTTAACATATATTCAACCCAACTGTAGCAATTAGCATCTTTTTTTCCTCGCAAAAGAAAATAAGATTTTAATTCACTGTATTGAATACGTATAGGAGCAAATAGTTTGGAAAGAGTGCAAATACAATGTTTAGTCTAGAAAAATCAGGACTCTTTACCTCCAATCTGCATGTCAAATGGTCCAACCGTGTTTTCTATGGCGTCTCTCCATAATTACACATGTTCTCTGCAAAGCTGACTTAGCTCGTCCAGGAATGTCTTCCCAAACTAACTGTTCCCTGTGTGATAATGCTGAAAGAAAGCCCACCTCATATTTTCTTGCATTGCCACTTCACCAAACTTATCGTATTTGCTAGCCCTTGGTCCATCTCTTTTCCCGCAAATCTTCATTCTCTCCTTTATGTCCTAATTCACTTAGGCTATGTTTGGTTTGAAGGAAAAGGTAGGGAAAGAAAGGGAAAAGTATGAAAATTTATACAAAGTTTGTAAAGGTTTCCTTACCTTGCCTTTCGTTTTCCTATCTTTTCCTTTAAACCCAACATTACCTTGGGAAATAAAAATAAGAGAAAATTTCTGATTAGTACTATGTACTTTGGGCCTAGTGCCACTTTAGTCTCCGAACTTTAAAATGCGACAATTCAGTACCTGAACTTTCAAAATGTGTCAATCCATTACCTACCGTTAATCATCTATTAATCAGTCGTTAAGTGGCATTTGAAAAAGACACAAATGCCTTTTGAATGACATACAATCTTCTTTACCAATCATCCAAACATTGACAAAAAATTAACAATCACAAATCTTTGCTTATTCTATTCAAAAAAATTGGGGTCACATCAAGCATTCTATAAAGAAAATTAGATGACACTCGGAGGGCATTTGTGTCTTTATCAAATGTCATTTAACGGTTGGTTAACGGTAGGTACTGGATTGACACGTTTTGAAAGTTCGACTACTGAATTGTCACATTTAAAAGTTTGGGGACTAAGGTGGCACTAGGCCTAAAGTACAGGATACTAATCAAGAATTTTCCCTAAAAATAATAATATAAGTTTTGCTTGATCAAATTCTCGCTTGGCCTGTTGTAGCTTGGTACTTCATCTGGTCGGCAGGAAAAGTGTCATTTTTAGAAGTGAAACTAAGACTGTTTCTTGGACCCTAAGCCAGATTCAGGTGAATTTCCTCGGGGCCCAAATTTGCTCTAATCAAGAGCAAAGACCAAACCCAATGCAACAAATGCTTGTTAACCTCCACGCCCAGGTAGATAATTCCATTTACATTGTTTGTGATGGAGGAACTGCCTGCAATAATAAAGGCTCTACGGCATAATTATCTTCAACAATAATTTCAAATTTTTGTGTGCTTTAGGTAACATGATTGATTTTGTTTGCAGTCCGATGGAAGCTGAATGTGAAGTTGTTCTTCAAAGTCTTCTTTTTGCGGAAAAGTATGGTTGGTCCAACTTAAACTTACCATGCGAAGCTTCCCTCGTTTCCATTACACATACCCGGTCCACTACTCCAGATTTTCTTGAGTGAATTTGTCAAATAGCTAGCAATCTTGGTTTAATTGTCAACCTAAAATAATAAGTTTAAGGAGAGTAACAATGCCATGCAATACCCATGTTCAGCTAATTGGTTTGATCTGAAATTAAGGCTGCATTTAGAAACGATGCAAATATGTAGAATGTAAAATGGTCCATATAAATTGCAAAGTTGGGTTAATTTTGCATTGACAAATTTACCTTATTACCAAACAGACTTTTAGCTTTAATGGATGCAAACACGAATTCCAATAAAGCATATGCCTTTTTTTATCAAAAGCCCACTTGAATGCAATTTTACCTCTTTTTTATTGATGTATGTTTACATCTTATGTTCAATGTAAATATGCATTGGAAAATGTGTTTTCTGTCATTTGTCAATGCATAAATGTAATATTGCCGAACAGAGGCAAAAGTGAACTAGAGTGCAAATTTATCATGAACTGAGATTTACATTCCATTTGCATCATTTCCAAATGCAGCCTAAGGCAATGCAAAATTTGTCATGTTTATTGTATTTAAAATCAATAAGGATCCAGCCCAATCCAATATGATAATCTTTGAATATGTTAATATGTATCTATTCTAAAGTTTGTTTGAATGTTCTGTGTAGCCATAGGCTCAAGTCTAATAGAATTATGTTTTTTTAATAGAGAACATTTCATTAATACTTAAGGTGGGTACATTTAGGGGTGTCAATTGAACTGGATTTGGTTCAATCCAATGAGAGTCCAATACAAATGGACCTGGTCCAATCCAATCCAATCCAATGAATATTTTGGACCGGTCGAGAGACTGCTCAATCTGTTCAAATTCATGTTAATTTAGATTGGTCTCAACTCAAACCCGGTCCATTGACACCCATGTTCTTATCTTCTATCAATGGACTAGATATTGGCTCAATCCAATATAAATTTATTATGGATGGACCAGGTCTAATCCAATATGTCATATTGGTCTGTCCAGTCTATCCAAATTCAATATGCTTTATTGGTTCGTCCAATCCATCCAAATAGATTTTGATTTGGATGGAGTCCAACCCAAAACCGGTCCATTGACACCCCTAGGTACATTGTTACATAATCCCCTTATAAGGAAAGACCAAATCAAGGATGCAATGAATTGAGAGTAACAAAATCAGGGGGATGGGGAGCCAATAAAATATGAAATGACACCTAATGATACACTGAATTTGCAATTCTACTTGTATGACTCATGTGATGACTCCACACCATGCAAATGGAGGGGACCCTATAAATCACATCCTATCCGTGAATTTGGCATCAATCCACAGGTAGGATTCAGTCCACCTCTAAAAATCCTAGCTCCACCCTAGGGGTGGACTGAACTATAAAACCCCCAAAAAAAATCCTCATTTTGTACCTTCTAGATGAACCAACACACTATGGCTAACAGTGCTAAGTGCCAATGGATGTAGTTGATAAAACATTGGTCTTGAGAACCAAGATACCACCCAATCACCAAGAGATAACACCTTTCAAATTATCAACCTAAAGGTATAATGGAGATATGAGCCAAACACTCCTAGCTAGGGGGTAGTGGATAAGCACACACTCTA